TTCATTTCTATGAGCATTTTCCCGGGACAATTCTGTCTCAGCTCTGCTGGGGATGCGACTTTGGTTCTGTAACTAGGCTATCGCTGCCTGCTAAGCCTGTAACATTTCGAAGATCACACACAAGTTGAAACCATCACCTTCACCGTCGTGTGTATTCGGGGCTATCGATCTCCCCCCCCCCCAGCGAATGTTATTTTCGGGGTCAGTAAGCAAGTTTGCTTTGATAGCTATGTGTGAGTTATCATCGACCGGATCAACGACTGGGACTCCGTTGGGGTCAGCTTTGGGCACCTTGTTGCTGGGTACCATGTTGTTGTTCTCTCCATAGTTGCCGGACTCAGCATCCACGTTCAAATGGATAGATTGGTTATTAGACATTTTTAGTTTTGACCTGAAATTAAAAGCTCAAAGAACAAGTATAAAATAGAGTGTATTATGGAAATTTGTATCAAATTGCCACTATTATCCTTAGCCCCATGGTGGACGCCAAACTATTTACTCTAAAAAACGGATAACAATTAAATTTATAAGTGGTTTTAAGGATATGTGGGTTAATTCAATACAAACGATAAATTGCATTAGATTAAATAGATAAAGGACATAATAAATTATCAAATCAATCAAGAAGAGTGATCCCGGACTTAGTAACAGCTTAATGAAAGGCCTACCTTTGATCCCAAGCTCACGTTACTGATGATTTGATGAACAAAAGTAAGAACTTTGAATAACAGAGAAAATAAGAGTATATTGCCTTGATGTGCATGTTACAATATTTAATAAATAATCAGACCTCCTTTTTTTTAGTAGGGGAGTTTTACAATAAGTACAATTCCATAAAAGGTAAAAATCTTCTATTTAACTAATCACCGGTTCTCTGCCGATGCGTGCCGAGATTCACGCCGTGACATCTGGTTGGTCACGAATATCACGATTTTTTGTTGGTCGTTCTCGATTATCTAGTAATGCTTTCCGAGGCCTCTGGGATTCGAACCGAATCTGGGGGTCATGGCCCCGATACTCCTGAGGGCAGGCGTTTTGCCCGGACCTGGGCTCGAGGGGTTTCTTGCCTTGATTTCGGTTCCTTACCCTCATGTCTCTCGCTCCGTTTAGTTCATCAGAAACCGAGGAGTCCCATAGGTTCAGTTTCGCCCGTATAAACTTTCCATTGTCTTTTCCTTCTTCGGCAAACCCTCTTAGTGATCCTCTTCTTCTTCGTATAACTTCCTTCCTTCTTATTAACAATAGCCTCCAAATCTTCAATCCCTTCTGCATCTTCTGCTCCGTCTCGTCGTACCATCATAGTCGATGACCTTCCTTTTATAATAGCTTCAGTTAGGAGTAGAAAAAAGGGTGGTAGGCTTCGTAGCCTAGGTTCGATGGTGAATAGAAACACTTCCTCTTCTAAGGGAAGCTCTTCAAAATCCGCTTCTTCTTCCAAAATTAAAGCTTCTGCTACTCCCATGTCCATTCCCTACTGAGTAATTTGATCAGTTCCAGACATAATTTATTGCTAAAAAAAATGCGTAAATAAAAAGTGAAACGATTGTTAGTTTTCCGGTAACGGAACCAATTTGTTTTTAATCCAAAAATAGTTTTTGTAGTCAAAATAAATAGAATAGAATAATTCAAGTTTCTAATAACCAATTTACTTATTATGATTGATATGAAAAGGAATAACAATAATAGAAAATTAAATTAAAATAATAAGGAAATAAAAATCTTATTAATCATTGCTACTTTCTTTCAGTAGGAAAGAACAAAATCTTCCAATAATAGAGAACAACAAGAATGCTGGTAATTGATAGTATAATTTAGCAGTTCTCTCGACGGGGATACAAGTTGTAGAAGGGGGATTATATAGTATTACAATTTGTAACTGTTTACCGTATTTAGTTCGTACATGTTACTAATATTTATTATATTAATTACTTATTATGTGGGCGATTGGTAACGACTGAGGCAATAACAGCAAATTGCGTATAATTAGGGAATTCGACTGATTTTCTTCTATATTCGTAACTATTAATGACCTTTTTATTATTGTGGCTTCCAATGGCCTTAATTATCAGCCTCGTACCTGTTTTCTCTTATCCAACTAACATGCACGGTATTTTCATAGACGAACTCGTAGGTGTTTTTATCTTCTTTGCACATTATTCTTTATTATTGCTTCGACTCTCATTACACCTGTCATTATAATATTGATCAACATGGTGAGTTTACTCTCCACCAATACAATATCTGCCCAAATAAAGGTGCACATAGTGTAGTATTAAACAAGTAGCACCTATATAGGTACCATGCAATTTTCGCTCTAGTGTTCAAATTGGATCTAAGGTTTCTGTTCTGCAAATTGAACACCATTTAATGCAACTTAATTAAAAGTAAATATACAAAACCAAAAACAAAAACTATTATTAGTAGATATTTTTAGATGGAGGGTATATACTACTCTGTAATATCATACTATAACTTGTTTGATTTATAGTAGCGTGTTAGTGTGCAAAAACATCAAAGACAGCCTCATGATATTCCTAAAAAGTACTACTTCCTCGGTCTAAATTTATGTGATATTTTTCGTCTTTCGAGATTCAAATTTTTTAATTTTTATCGTGTATTTGAACATAAATATTTTAATTTTTTTAAAATAAAATTTACATATTTAAAAACTACGAAAGTACTATAAATCACAATAATTAATAATTTAAATATTTAAAAGATATAAAAAACTTACAATTAAAAAATAATTCGTTTAATTCTCAAAATTTGAACATTATGGGGCGGAGGAAATAGTCACATATAGCTGGATCTTGCATTCTTGGTAACCATCTTGTCTGCTGGTTCCATACCTAACACTGGAAATTGTTGAAATGAAAAGAAAGAAAAAATAAATAGACGACCAAATAGTGAAGAAAAAGCGTATATCATTTTCGAATTAAATGAAAGGAATACCTTTCCAGCTGTACGGTTTATTATTGTGGAGCATGATATGTTGGGAGTCATAGTTGTTGGGATCTTTTTCCCATGTAAATTCACTACATGGGTTGCTTCATGCTTGTGCTGATGGAACTTTTTCCTTATATTCATACAGCTGCTGCATTTCAGCAAAGCTAATATGTGTCATTACTAGAACTATTGTTTCACCACATTTTCAGGATATCGTACGTAAATTTATGCAAGACTGCAGCATAACATTTTCAAGATCGTACGTACATGTATTATTGCAAGACTGTGCAGCCTTTCATAATATCTCGTTCTTTTGGATGGTGCACCCCTACGTGAAAAGACTAATTTGTTGAATTAATAAACCCAAGAAGTTAAAAAAAAAATAAAAATCGTTTCCTTCGTTAAGTAAGCAGAGAAGAGTATACAAGCCATTTTGCGTTATAATCTATATGAGTAAAGTTCGTATAGCAGGAAGCCAAATGGAGAAAAGAAAGTGACATTTAATTTGCGAATCTGACTAAGAGAAATAAAAAATAGAATAAATTTTACTGGTGGTAATCCAACTAAAGTTTATAATATAAAAGTTAATTTTTTATTTTTGTAACTGTGTGCGAGTAAAATCGGGGATAAGCTTACCCCTGATTTTCCGGTAAGAAATGAGAGGACAACGCAGCCCGATATGGCCTCGCGTAAAGCCGAGGGATCCTACAGATCGGAGCCCGAAGAGGATGAATGGTGCGCCAAGAAACGGACACGGCCAAGCATGATAAGAATCGAGTTCGAGCAAAGTAAAGAACCGAGGCTAAGGGAGAGACGATTAGACAGGACAAATGAGAGACCGAAATATCCACCCTTAACCGGATATTACGGCGTAAATCTCACCCGATATCAACTGTGTATCACGATTTACTAAAAGAGAATTTTTTTTACCTTATTTAGACTTGTACTAGGATTGAAACTCCCCTACTATATAAATGAGAGAACCTTTCATTATTCAGTACACTGTTGGCACGCATACCAAAGCAATAAAGCTAATTTTTGTTCTCTAGTTACTGTTCAAAGTGTTCTTGAGCCGCTTATTTATTTAGTTGCAATCGAGTCTGTTTCGAGGGCTTGATCGGGACCAACTTTTAGCGTTGATCATAAAGCTAGGCTTAATGAATCATCACATATAATTTGATCGTTTTGTTTTCCTTTAATTCAATTATTTACTATTCTTAAATTATTCGTGTTAAATTAAATCACATATCTTTTAAACTACGTATAAATTCAATTGTTACTTATTTTAAGAAAAAACGGATTGGCACCCACCGTGGGGCTCAGGATAAGAGTGGTTATTTAATATGAATCTCTATAACACACCCTATTTTACACTTGCTTTTTGAAGTATGATTTCATGTCTATTTAAAATGTCAAATTCTCAGTCTCCTCAATCGCTGACTCAATCGTTGACCCAGTCGATGCCAACTCACAAGTTTCCATCAATATCAACCTGCCAACTGATCCTGAAAATAGCATTCGCGGGGCACCCCGGCCATCAGCTCGAGAAGCGCCCGAAGGGGAAGGTGATGGAGTTAGCTTACGATTGATTATAGAAATACTACAAGCTCAGCAAGTGGAAATAGCACAACTGTAGAGTCAAAATCACGCACAGAACACGGCCGAACCCGAGCGGGTCAGAAAAGATGCTCGGAGAGATGAACAGATTGTCGCAGAACCAGATGAGTTCGGACCTAGAGAGACTTCCGAGGTGATGAAAATGCTCGAAGCACTAACAAAACGGGTGGAGTCTAGCGAAAAGAAGATAGAGGCAAATGATAAGAAGGTGAAAACTTACAATTCAAGGGTCGATCAGATCCCGGGAGCGCCTCCAATATTGAAAGGCTTGGATTCCAAAAAGTTCATTTAAAAACCTTTCCCCCCGAGTGCGGCACCGAAGCCAATTTTGAAAAGGTTTTGAATGCTCGATATTCCCAAATATAACAGTACCATATATCCAAACGAGCATGTAACCTCTTACACGTGCGCAATAAAAGTAAATGACCTAAAAGACGATGAGATTGAGTCAGTTGTTGAAGAAATTTTGGGAAACCTTATCCAAAGGAGCAATCATATGGTACCATAACTTACCTCCAAATTCTATTCATTCATTTGCTATGCTTGCATACGCCTTCGTTAAAGCCCATGCTGGCATTATCAAGGTCGAGACGAGGAAATCGGACCTCTTCAAAGTCAAGCAAAGGGACAATGAGATGCTTAGGGAGTTCGTGTCGAGGTTCCAGATAGAACAGATGGACATGCCCCCGGTTGTAGATGATTGGGCCATTTAGGCATTACTCAAGGGCTCAACCCCCGAAGTTCCATTGCTTCTCAACAATTAAAGCAAAACTGGGAGGAGCACCCGGCTGTTACTTGGGTTGATGTTCATAACAGGAACCAGTCAAAGATCAGAGTCGAGGACGACCAGCTGGGGGGCCCTCGGGGACTATTTACCCCAATAGAGTGAATGAAAGGTCTAAAAGAATTATGGATCAGGAGCCAAGGCTGACCCGAGATCGGTATCAACCATACAGCTTGGATAGAAGGGGAAACGGACCCGGTCGCCACCCGACCAGGAACGACAAGAGAAGAGACCAAGGACCTAGCAACCGAGGTCTGATGAGTAAGAACGGTTTTGACATATCACTTGGCCCCAGACTATCGGAATATAACTTCAATGTTGATACATGGAGTATAGTATCGGCCATCGGCCACATCAAGGAGATCAAATGGCGAAGACCACTCCAATCTGATCCCGCACAGAGAGATCACAACTTGATATATAAATACCACGGTACTCACTATCACAGGACCGAGGATTGTCGATAGCTAAGGGAGGAAGTGGCTAGTCTATTCAAAAATGGGCATCTTCGGGAATTCCTAAGTTAGCAAGCCAAAAATCGTTTCAAAAACAGGGACACCAACAAACAAATTGAACAGTAAGAACTCAACACGTGATTAACATGATCATTAGGGGAGTAGATGTCCCACAAGGGCCAATGATTAAGCGCACCAAAGTTTCTATTACAAGGTAAAAATGCACTCGGGACTACGTTCAAGATGGGACCATCTTGTTCTGCGACGAGGACGTTGATGGCATCATTCAACCTCACAACGATGCATTGGTAATATCTGTACTTATTAATAAATCTCGAGTTAAGCGTGTGTTGATTGATCCAGGCATCTCGGCTAACATCATCCGATGGAGAGTTGTAGAACAACTGGGTTATTGGACCAAATCATACCAGCAGTACGAGTATTGAACGGGTTCGACATGGCATGCGAGACAATGAAGGGAAAAATAACCCTACCAGTAAACACTACCCGGACCACCCAGGAAACAAAATTCAATGTAATCGAGGGGGATATGAGATACAATGCCTTGTTCGGGAGGCCATGGGTCCACAGCATAAGAGCGGTTCCTTCGACCTTCGGTCAAGCATTGAAGATTCCCACACCAGGCAGAATCAAAACAATCTATGGGGAACAACCGGCTGCAAAGGAGATGTTCGTTGTCGAGGAGTTGATCCCGGCGCCCGCAATCACAACATCAAAAGGTGAGGGATTGGTCAAATAGAAAGGAGCCAAATAGAAATCACTGGTACCGACCCTGACCGGGCTGGAGAAATAGAAGGAACACTCAATGAACGAGGAAGATGATTTTGGGGTCCCGGGATCCTTCATAACAACCGATGATACCGATGCCACCAAGTTGACGATCGAGAAATTAGAGCAGGTCACACTAATAGAGTATCTACTGGAAAAAAAGTATACCTAGGCACGGGGTTAACCCCCGAGCTGAGGAAAAAACTTATTGATTTTCTTAAAGCTAATGCTGATTGTTTTGCCTAGTCCCAATTAGATATTACAGGGATCCCACCAGAGGTGACAACTCACAAATTAAGCTTGGATCCAAAATTTCACCCAGTTAAACTGAAGAGGAGACCACAGTCCGAAATCCAACACGTATTCATCAAGGACGAGGTATCTAAACGTCTAAAAATAGGTTTTATTTGGGAAGTTAAATACCTGAATTGGCTAGCTAACGTAGTGGTCGTACCTAAAAAAGTAAAGAAACTTAGAATGTGTGTAGATTATAAGGACTTGAACAAGGCATGCCCGAAGGATTCGTTTCCTTTGCCTAACATCGACATAATCATCGATGCAATGGCCGGGCACGAGACGCTAAATTTTCTCGCTGCCTATTCCGGGTACAACCAAATACGGATGGACCCTGATGATCAAGAGAAGACTTTTTTTATAGCTAAATTCGGCCCCTATTGTTATAACGTAATGCAGTTTGGATTAAAAAAATGTCGGTGCCACATATCAACACCTAGTTAACCGAATGTTCGAGAAACAAATAGGAAAATCAATGGAGGTCTATATTGACGATATTTTAGTTAAGCCTCTGCGAGTAGAGGACCATTTGAAGCATTTGTAGGAAACTTTCGACATACTGAGAATACAACATGAAGCTGAACCCAGAGAAGTGTGCCTTCGGAGTAGGCTCGGGCAAGTTCCTCGGTTACATGGTGTCTAACCGGGGAATAGAGATCAACCCTGTCATGCCCCGAACTCAAGAAGCGCGACCGGCGCTCAACCGAGTGAACCCGATCAAGCAAGCTTGTTAGATACTTTTTACCCAAACTCACTTACTAATATAGAGAATATATATATTTTCGTTGATTAGACAATAAGGAGACCATGTATACAATACCAATTCATTACTATTAGTTACTTCATTTTAAAGTCTCAAATTACACACATTTTCACGGTCTGAAGTGGAACAAGTAATTCAAACACAACATAACTTGTTTGACTTTTCCAGCACTAATATACAACCCACACTATGTCTACAGAGCCGCTAATAGATACAGAAGAGTATTATAATAGTGCCGGCAACAAGGCCCCGGCTATACCTCAAACACAATACATAAAGGACAAAAGATACATGGCCCCAAAATGAAGTGGGGCTCACCAAATCAGCTGGGAAGAGGATGTACCGCTATCACTGATCAATGTCTCCTACTGCAGAACCACCAGCATCCATTGAAGATGCAGCACCCCAGGCAAAAGGGACATTAGTACATATGGAATAGTACTAGTATGAATGACAAAACACCATCTCAATAGAACGATTAATAATACCAGCAAGAACAATCATAATATTAGTGGAAGCCTCAAACAACATCAAACCTCATGTTATGGCCAAGACAATGTTCAAATAGATTTCCATATTTTATGTTGGGAGATTGTTTGTACCAATATACCACCGTTCACAATACCAATACCATCGTACTTTTAGCACGGAGTCCGATCACGACCCGATCGGCTAGGCCGTCTCCTTCAAAACATCAACCACAATCATAATTTTAGTTACAATTTCCAGCACAATCACCACCATGTGTGCAGCATGATGTCCGATCACGACCCGATCGGCTAGTCCGTCTCATTCGAGACATCATCCTTTTATACCAATCATCTTGTTTCATACTTTTTTCACATCTTTTCATTTCATTAGTACTAGTGTCCAGAATTATAAAATCATTCTTGGCACGTCGGCCGTAATTAGTATTCCATGCTCACCTTTTTCACTTTCAAACATAATCATCATCATCAACAACAAGGCATTACAAATCAAGGTTTTTAGTACACATATGAGCAGTTAAGTGTTTTAGGCACATAGAGATGTTTCACAAACTTTGGCATAATAGCCTTCGTTTGAACTTGACTTGAAGTCGAAACATTATTAATGCACAGTCCATACTTTGAGTACATTCTCATATGATAACATAACATGATAATAGCATTTGGTAAACATATTTAACATATATCTTTCAACACAAACTTATTCAGAATAGTATAATGAACCACTCGGGACTTACATAAATTACATGAATGCCGTAGGATTCAATTCTAAGAGACGAGTTTAGCCAACATACCTCGATTTGAGCTTTCCTTAAATTACTACAACATTCCGAAAATCCTATCAATCCTAATCTATATTGAGACATACCAAAATTGAACACAAATTTGGAGGATATTTATGGTTTCAGCTCATTTAAGCATTTTATCAAACACTAGGCGTGCAAATTTGGCTACAAGATTCTTCTACAAGATTTTCTTTATTCCACAACCCAATCTTTACTTATTTGAGCTCAACAATCTTCCCACAAACCTTATTGGTACAAGCATGTAAAATTAATACTCTTACACCCAAGAATCATACTCCCAATCACCCATCTTTTTACCCCAAACTCGAAATTGAAGAATTGGGGGAAGAAATTCATACCTCTTTGAAGCCCTAACAAGATCCTTGTGAAATCTTCAAGCCTTGAGCAAGAATTGATGAACAAATGACTAGGTCTTCTCTTTCTCTCTCTAAGATACTCTCACCTCTCTCTAAAAATATCAGATGAAACCCTTAAAAATGACCCCCGAAGACTATTATCAAAATGGGGTCGGGTTACAAAAATAAAAAAAAAATGAAGCTCTGAAACACAATCTGTGATCGTAGAGTGACCGTAGAATGGGTATGCGGTCCGCAAACCGGCCGCACAATTTGGTGCCCCTGCACTGGAAAATACGGGTTGGGTCTGCGGTGGTTCTACGGTCGCATAGTGCACCGCAGACCTGTTCTGCGATCGCATAATGCACCGCAGACCTGGTCTGCAGTCGCATAATTCACCGTAGACCTTCCTCCAAACTTGCCCCATCACTGCTTAACTCTGCGGCTATTCTGTGGTTCGTATAGTGATTCTGCGGCCGCATAGTGGGCCTCAGAAATGTCTTTTTCTGCCAAAAAAATTTCCTTTACTCCCCAGCGCATTGTTCAACCCAAAAAGTTCGAGTCGCAGTGAGCAAGCTCGGCGCAAAGAATTTCTACAATCCTCTAACACGTAAGCCTACTTCGGCACGAGGAAACCTTAAATTCCTTTGCGAAGTTTTATGGGGCCTTACATTCTCCCCTACTTAGGATCATTCGTCCTCGAATGAGGGTCAAAATCCGTCATTAGTATTCAATGTGACTTGGCTGCTATAACACATACCAGCAGTTCCAAATTTTTGACTAACTCCCAAAATTTCCCAAAATTTTGTTAGTGTCTCCCCTGTAACTAGGCCTATTCACCTGTCAGAGAATCCCAGAAACCAATACTAACAACATATACATAATTTTATGATGCAATATAACATAAAAACAACACCAATCGTGGCCTCATAAGCAATATATTACCAGAAAAGGAACACCCTTTACATCAACTGTAAAAATGATACATAATTCATAGAAGGTAACGCTTAGCATTTTTATAAAACACAACTTTATAAATACATAGCTATTCAAACAAATAAGGATACTTCTTAGTCATTTCTTCCTCGGCCTCCTATGTGACCTCTTCCACCTACTGGTTCGCCATAACACTTTCATGAAGGCAAATTCTTTATTTCTCAACTTTCGGACTTCCCGATCGATAATAGACACTGGAATCTCTTCATAAGTCAATTCCTCTTTAACCTCAATAGTCTCAACCGGAACAATGAGTGTTGGTCTCCAACTACTTTCTTCAACATAGACACATGAAACACCAGGTGTACTAATGACATCTCAGGTGGTAGTTCAAGCATGTATTCCACCTCACCGATCCTATGAATGATTCTGTACGATCCGGCATACCTCCGACTCAATTTCCCTTTCTTACCAAATCATATTACACCATTCGTGGGGGAAACCTTCAAGAATACTCAATCATCTCCTTTGAACTCCAAATCCCTACGACGAGCATCTGAATAGGACTTTTGACAACTCTGAGCAGTCTTCACCTGCTCGT